GGGCAGCGGCCAGTGTATGACAGTGCAGTACTGCAGAGAGTGGACCTGGTTTTAAGTGTGGGAGACTGGAGCAGAAAGAGGTCATTTTGGGCCTGAGCTCCTGAACTGCTTAGAGTCAGAGTCACCCTGCTATATTTAGTAGGATCCAACCAGATAGATTCAGGCACTCTTCTGGAGTACCTACGCTAGGAAAAATGACTTCTTCAGCCATTTTCTGTAACTAACTGATTGAGAGAAATGCTTTCTGAGCTAATTTGCCTACGTGGCACTAAAATGACCTTCCAGATGTGCCTGTCTGTTGCACTGAAAACGCAGAACGCGTAGGATGACTCTGTCCTCAAATTAAATACTTCAGTTGGGTGCTTAAAGTGCTCAGACTGAGTTGATGGCATCCCACCAGGGGGTTCCCCTCTCCCCGCTTTTTGATTATTTTATTTTACAAATTAGATTTATTTTTAAAAATAGACTTGAAAAATACACCACAGTAGGAAATATTTTTAAAAAAACAGGTATTTATGGAGATGGATCAAACAGGTGGCAGAAAAACAGTATCGCAGTGTTGGTTCTGTATGGAAATCTCTCTAGGCAAGAGGACGCTGGAGAGTTAGAGGTCCTTCCAAGTTCAGTGGTGATCTAACAGTGAATTCCTTGGCTTTTTCGGATTTGAGGGTTGCTTGCACGTTTTGTTTATTAACTTTTCATTTGTGTAAGCAGACTGCTTTCAAACGATGCTGATTTTGTATTCACGGCTATAAGCTGGATATCAGATACAAGGGGGCATATCAACCAGTTCAGCTTTAGGAGTATAAGGAATAGTGGTGAATCGCAACAGTATATTCCATCCCCACTGCACAGGAGCACACTAGAGCTTCAATGATGTGCTGGTTATCTAATCCTTAGAAAATAACAGGAAGAAAAATCTAGTAATAAGTCACCTAGCTCCTCCAACTGCCTGTGTTCCTCCCTGTCTGCCATTATTTTCATGTTTGCCCAGAAACTTCCCACACACCTGATCTGAGAAAGAAGCAGCTTAGTCAGCAGAGTAGAGATGAGGCAGTCAACAGTTTTCCCATAGTTCTGCTGCTTTTCGGTTATGTGTCACCTACAGAGATTTACTCTGTCTCTACACATCTGTGTAGGGACCCGCCACATTCTTTATGAATTATAATTTAAAAAGAGAAAAACATTTTGCAAACTACAAGAAAAGCTTGGATAAATAGAGAGGGAAGCAATATCTGATGCTTCTTGAAATCACAGACCAAATCCTGTTCACTTTGTTCACAAGTATTGAAATCCATGCTCCACTCAAAAAAATACAGAATTTGACTTTACAATAGCCAGCAGCATCTTTTATTCCTGTAGTTGACTTCACGTAGAAATATCAACACCTCTTTTGAAAATATCATTGTTAAAAGTATTCTTTGTTTCCTCTGTTTCAGGACATAGACTTGTCCTGACAGGAAGGATATTCTAATGATAAAGGTTTACCTAAATTTTAGTTCAGGCAACTTCTTTCCCTTTGCCTCAGCTCCTTGTTATGAAAAAGAAATGACAATTATTTTGTCCTATTAGGCATCTTGTCATTTTAGATTAGAAACTATCAGGATTGTGTTGTATCATGCATTTGCCGTGCATTAGGGTTGTGATTTTGCTTCAGTTGTCTAGTCATTGCAATAACACGCACAGCTAATAACAATTCAGAGATTGCTTTGCAAAATATAGTCCCAGCTGTGCAAATCAGACCAAGGTCTGCACATGGGAAGCTTCAGAAATAGGCCCTATCTAATAAATTAGTAAAACATTTTATGTTCATTGAGCTAGCGTCAAGGAGAAAAAAGAGGTAACTAAATCACTTCAAATATTTTCAGTCCTGTATGTTGAGTCTGTTTAACAGGTAGGTTTATATGCTGTTCAAAAGGCAACAAATGCAACTAAGGGCAAACAAGACCACAATAAAGTCTTAGGGCTTTCTATCTACTGCATGCCCTCCCTTTTCAGAGCCAGGACGCTGCGTTATTAAGGAAACTTTTATTTAGAGCTGGGTATAGTGGATGTTTTACTTTATTCCTTTTTTCTTTTGGACAGGATCTATATCATCAGTCATATGACTGTGTCTGTGTCATGTTTGCCTCTATTCCGGATTTCAAAGAATTTTACACAGAATCTGATGTAAATAAGGAAGGCTTGGAATGTCTCAGGCTGCTAAATGAAATCATTGCTGACTTTGACGATGTATGTACTTCTAACAACACTCAACGTATGGTTTCAATCTTAATAACCCAGGGTATGCACCAGTGAGCGTGCCTTGACAACAGTGTTCGAAGAGCTGTCAGGAAAGAATGTTTTCATGGGTCTCCTCATGTGGAAACTGCTTTACAGGGAGTTTTAAAGGAAAAAGAGATTTATGTGAAATAAATCAGACACCAATCTGAGATCCCACTCAATTGCTCTTAATTCTCTGCGGGAACAATCCTATGTATATATCCAACAGAGAAACTGGCCCTTTAGCTGCATTCATGAGATGGTCTCATTATATGTCATATAGTAACTACAGTTTCCAAAGGCTGGTGCCTAACGTCAGGTCCCTAAATCTAATTCCCTTAAAATTTTACCGCTTTGTGTCATACCTGATCTGTGTTGGTTTGATTACACAGCATGTCGATCAGTTGGTGTATGAGCAACTCATAGAAGTGGATAGGTTTTCATGTCCCGTTCTCTGAAGTTGCAAGCAAGTGCAGAGTGTGTGACCACTCATGGACTGTGAAAAGACAGCGCTTAAGGTCTCACTGAGAGCAGGATTTGTCTTGAAGAAAATTATTAGTGATGAAGATATCAGAAAAAGTCATTAAGATTCTGTTATGGCTCAGCACAGGCTGGATTTACAGATCTGCAGCCATAGGAGAAATTTTAACAGAGGGGAAAAAAAAAAGCCAATCGGACAACTTTGAAATGTTCAAAGCAACGTGGGGCATGAACAAAAATTCTTGCAGTCCCATTTCCATTGTTTAGATGCTTGCTTTCAGAAAGCTGCACAAAGCTTATCTGTTGGCTCACATGGTGATTCAGGTCCAATCTCAAATGAGTGTGCGAAGCCCATTGATTTTAAAGAGCTCTGTGTACAATAAGGTGGGATTTAATCTCATTACTGTAAATTTAGTTCCTTTATCATACAAAAGGTATTTTAACAGACATGAATGCCCTTTCCTTGAGGGCTGTATCCATTTTTTTATTTGTCCGAAAGTCCGTCATCCCCTATATATTTGTGAAGCCATTTCGGATCTAGTAAAAGACTGTTATAAGAACGGATGCTCTGAATGCTGTTAAGAGTATCAAGCTATGAAAGTCTGCTGATCTGAATAATAGAATAACCGTTCTTGTTTTACAGTTATTGTCTAAGCCAAAGTTCAGTGGAGTTGAAAAGATAAAGACCATTGGAAGCACTTACATGGCAGCAACAGGACTGAGTGCTACACCCAACCAAGAACAGTGTCAGGTACAGGAAAAGGTTCCTGCGCTGTAAAAATTATGCTCAAGTGAAGCCTGAAATTCTGTTCATTAAACTGAAGAGAAGTGCAGGATATGCATAACATTATGGCCTAGTTTTTTGTTATTAATATAGATTGTATTATACTGGACAAGTGTTTACTTTTGTTCAGCAGTCTCTATGAATTATTGTTCTTCGCGCTGCAGATTGAAAATGCCACCTTTGTATTTGCTAAGTCTAAATATGGCCTTTCGCTCTAAATACAATACTGTATGTCACTGCTACATGTTGCAGCAGGAGTAATTGGGTTTATAGAGTCTGCAAAAAAACTGCAAGGACTGCTATTTTCTGATGTAAGTTGGGAGGACAGAGTAGCTGCATTAGCTGTATGCTTACAGAAGTAAGGCAGGTTCCTTTGTGTCTGATTTATTTTAAAGGGTAGCCCTTTGTCTCTGGTTTATTTTATAGGGTAAGACTTGGAACTGCAGCTGATAGAAATGAAGTTCAGAGAAACAATCTGTAGCTTTTAACCAAAAGCCATGATCTTCAGAGTACTACAGGTTAGCAGGAGAGAGACAGCAATTATGAATCAACACATTCTCTGCTAAGGATTAATATGCTCCTGCCAAACTCATGTTCTTTCTAGGCAGAAGCAATTAGCACCTGAGCTATAGGTCTTACAAATCCAGAGAACACAAAGGAATAATTTAAATTAGCTCTGACATTTGATACTGGGAGGTGAAGGGAATGAAGGAAATGCTGCACTGTAGCTTGGAGATGAGAAGACATAGAGGAGCTCTCAACCACACCTAAAACTAGTGTTTGCACAGGAAGAAATTTATCCTTTGAGTTATTTCCAGAAACTGAGAATCAAGAGACCCATGTTTTAGTGTTCCTTTGGTGGTTTAGTACACATTTTGAATAGAAGTCCACCAAAAGTTAGAGACCAGGTGCTCAAAGATCCATGGATACAATGAACTTGTATATTTGGCAGCAGGCAATCTGTTTCTCCAGCCCAGCCTGGGCAAGGCTGCAGCCCGCAGCCCAGGCATACTTGGACTCACTAGAAACTGTGTGAGCTACCAAGACTATAACTGTTATCCTACAGGGCTCAGCCTAGGCATTAATACCTGCTTAAACCCTGAGGAAATAGCCAGGTAGCTAATGACACTGAACTCCATAATTATGCTATCAGGACCAGCACGGGCTAAGGCAGTAGGCAGTGTTGACACGTGCCTTACAGCTGTTCGACATTCTCTGTGCACCTTACTGCTTCCACCCTGCAGCTGAGGTGCGCTTGCTAGAATTTGCTGATTGCGCTTGCCACAGAAATATGTTTTCATCTCCTTGCATTTGGAGGTCTTCCTGAAAAGGAGCATGTGAGAAACAGGTTCAGTTATTCAGGGAGGTGGTAATCTATGCATCTATATTCTGCTCTGCCCTGGACTTTGTGATGTCCGTTCCATGGGCAAAGAATACATTATTATTGGGCCTATTATTAGTACATATATACAATCCGTTTGTACAGACAGCTACTTACCAAGGTTTTAAACACAATGGCAAAGCAAAAATCATTCTTTAAAAGTCATTTGCATGAGCAGTACTCCATGAACTGTAAAGGGTTTGTACTGTAGCAAATGACAGGAGATCATCTGTATTTATAAAAAAGATGTAGATTGGGTTCTCTATTTTCATCAATTTGTTCAAGAATATATGGCCAAATAGAAACCATAAGTCATCCGGCCATATACATTTTCCTATTTTATAACATACATTAGTATAATATCCATTCAGCCAGAAGGAAGAGAGAGTCTAAGCTCTGCTTAATGTTTGTCTGGGTCAGTGCTCAATTCAGCTCGGTGACTTCTGTTCTGAAGGGAGGAGGAAATCCTGTTGCCGCAGCGTCCATCGCCCGGCCAAGCACCCCAGCTGGCCTTCAGGAGTGCTCACTACCCCTGTGCTCCCTTACGCTGTCCGCTCAGACATATTCTTTGTCAGTGAACTTTATATATTTGTAAACTGGGTACTACAGAAACTATAATGAGGTTTAACTAACCTATATTTATGAAGCGCTTTGGTGGAAATGCAGATCCGTAGCATGTTTTGGATCTATAATCTCTGGACAGAGTGATCTTAAGTAAAATGCATCATGGTCTGTTGGCCTTCGTTTGAGCTAATTGAAGCTGGGCAGGGCACCACCTTCTGCCTTACGTTTCTGCTGCAGTCTGCTGGCATTATGAAATCCTTAAAGTTTTTAGTGCCCTAAGCGTTCAACATGCGTAGCCTGCGTTCTCACGGCAACTAACGCTAAAGAAAATGTTTTAATTCTATTTGCTTGGCTGTTTAAATTCAGGAACCTGAACGACAGTATATGCACATAGGAACCATGGTGGAGTTTGCATTTGCCTTAGTTGCGAAACTGGATGTCATAAACAAGCATTCATTCAATGATTTCAAGTTACGAGTGGGTATGTATCACGGGATTTGCATGGGACTATTCCGGAGGAGAGGGAGAATTCAGGGTGAAACACAAGATGGTTAAAATGTTAGTAGAACTGAGCAAAAAGACCATGAAAGTAAATAGCACCACCTTTAGTGTGTTTAAAGGCAGCCTAAATGGTATTGGTTGACCGTAGCTGCTGTTGTAGCAAGAAGTGTTTCAAGTCAGGCACTCAGAGAAAGGTCGTATGCCTAGGTTAATAATACTTGGAAAATATGGTCCCACAAGTCTGAATGGTTTTATGGTAACTTTACTGTAGTTATTCTCAAGATTGTTAACCGTGTTAATTTTTTAAGTTCTTCAGTACCAAAGGAGACAGAAAGACACTAGATGGGTTTACAAAATCATACAAATGACTTTGGAGGACAAGATCTAGAAACGGCCAGTGAGGTCAGGGTTTGAAATATTTCAGATGTACTAAACTCAAGCAAGCATACAAAAACTCCCCCCTTCTTTCCCAGCGTTAAACAAAGGAGGGCACTTATCTTATGCATTCTGCTGTGGTTATTGACAAGTAAAAGCAACGATTATTAGCTGTTGACATTTGTTAGGGATATCACTTATATTTCAGCTTCTAATAGCTTCTCCTTGTGCCTTCTGGTATTTTAAAAAGCTGCAGAACTGCAGTAAGCCACGGAAAGGATGATGAAATAAATTAATTCAGAGCTGGTCAAGAATCGTCAAATAATCCAAGGTGATTATTTCCTTGTAGCAGTACACAATAGATTTACAATGCAACATGTAACTTGGAAACTATGAAATGAGAGCAGTAAATAAATACTGCTAACCTACAGATCCTGCAAACATCTCTGAAGTATTTGAGTGCCAGCTGAAGTGCAGTTATTCTCCTTTCTTGTCCTTTTCTTGTTGGGCAGCTTGCTTCTCTTTTCGGCTGCTCTCATATTTATTTCACAGTGCCACCCACTGGTATAGCATGCTATTTGTGGAGCCTTAAATATGTATGTGCTCCTTAAAGCACTGATAGTATCCTTTGTATTCCTTGCCACAGCTTTTAAAAAATGACAAATCAAATCTAGAGTGTGCTTCCTTCTTGAAGTGTTACAGAAGTTGGTGAGTTTATAAAAAACACATAGAGATACCATATTCCTGTAAAGAGTAAAACATTTTTTCTTGCTCTCTCCTTGATGATACATGTTACATACTTGCAAGCGTACTTTTATCAGCAGTGTCAGTGCAGATGAAGAGCTGCTGAGTGCCAGAGCTAAATGCACAAATTCATTATAGCAACACCAACTCTTTTAAAGCCGGATTCATGAGGCAAACTTTCATCTTCTAGGGGAAAAAAAACATACCTAATTGTGATTTTAAAGTGTTTGCTGTAGCTACCCTGGAACTTAGACTTCTTTGCTTAATGAAGCAAGGAAATGGAAAAAATGAAAAGAAAAATGTCAGAAGTAGCTCATGTTGCATGAAACACCAGTGCAGCTTGGCTGCAAATTGGTTTTGTACTTTTTTTGTGTACTCCAGCGATAGCGCAGTGGGAGATGACCAGGAAGATGCAAGTTAAGGTAGTTCTGCTGATCTTGCCTCCGGTTTCCTTTCCCTAGTAGCAGGGTGCCAATCCCTCCCTTTTCAAACATTGCATGGGACACAAACTGACCACAGGATAGCAGATGCCCCAAGTCTAATAAGGGGCTATAGTATGCTGTTCTTTCTCATTCTTACAGTCTGCATTTCAGAGGTAGCAATGCATTACTCTTACTCTATGCTTAAGCATAGGCTGCGAATGTATATGTATTTATATTACAATTATTTATTGCCCTAAACGGACTAGGATCATTCTATAGGAAATCCATCCTTCAGAATGAGATCTCAGATCCTTCCAGTTCATTCACATTAGTTTATGCTATATTTAAGAAGTGAAGAATGCTGTAAAAGTCATTTGATTTGGTCATCAGTTCTTTGCAGAGAGGAGAATTCCTTTTTCGTTACAAATAGAAATGAAAATAAATTCTGATATGTCTGTTTTCCTGGAAGTAGCTACTCTCCCTACAGTATGTTTCTCACGCTATGTAATAAAGCCAGTAGCAGGTTATTAGGATAGAAAACAGCAGAAAATATCTAACTTGATCAGGATGGGAGGGAGATGTAAAACTATAGTTGTAAAGTACAGTAAATGGTTGATAAAATACTCGTTAACAGGCTGTTGGTTGCTGTCCCCAGTGTTCAGCACAGGCCGTGTACCATATGCATTGACCTGACATGTTACTGCTTGTCCTTGTTCAATTGAGCTTTTTTTAGCATAAAGTTCTGATGTTTTTCAGGTATTAATCATGGACCTGTAATAGCTGGAGTAATTGGAGCTCAAAAACCACAATATGATATCTGGGGCAATACCGTAAACGTGGCCAGCAGGATGGACAGCACTGGTGTCTTAGATAAAATACAGGTAGTCTTTTTTTTATGCTAATATTTATCTTAATCCTTTGGGTTTGATGCTTAAAAAAGCCATCATGTTTTTGTACACTAAACAGATCCGTGCCGTTGAGGCTGCGGCTGCCCACAGAAAAAAACAACTTATCAACTGTATATACACCTTTCAAAAGAATTAGACCTTGGACAGGAAAGTAAAGAATTAAAAGAAAATGTATAGGGAATAACAGGAGAAGAATCAAAACTTTGCCTTAAGCCTAAAGAGGAATACAGTGGAGGAAATGCAGTACCAGATTAAGGGAGAATTTGAGGGAAATCACATTTGTATTGTGTAACTTTCTAAATGCAAAGTATTAACTACATCATCTCAGAAGGACTCTCCTAATGTTCATTATTGCTAAATAAAGAAAATGTCCTTTACTGCTGTACATCAGGTTAAACCCGTAAGGCAACGATGAAGATTTCATTTTATTGAGATATGCAGATTAATAATCGCTATATATTATCTGTATAGATTATAGATAGGCATGTATAGACCTTCAGTTTTCCAGCCTTCCAGTGATTTCGTATGCCGAGATCACGTTTTAATTATCTATCTGTATGTTGCCTAGCACAGTGAGATCCCAGTCTGTGACTGAGAGCACGCAAAATCTGTGAAGTGAGACCATTCGGAACTAAACAACGCAAAGCTAGAATTTAACTCTTGATGAAAACTGAAAACAGGATGGCTCTCAGAGCAAAGCCGCCTGCAGACATTTGTCTGCATTGCAAAGAAACACAGCCACTCTAAAACAGCAGATAGAGCAACCCCTGACCTGGAAGACTTATGCCTAAATGGCAGAACTGCTTCAAGTTTGTTTCGTTGTCAGATTTATGTGAAAAATTGGCAACAGCACCTCTGACAGACGATGCTAAGGTTTCATTCACACAGCCTTAATATTTGCAAAAATATGGAGAAGCTTGGGCCTACTGAAATGAAAAACAGCTGTAGAAGATCAGAAAAATGCTGTATGAGGATAAATGTTGTTCCTAGTGCCACTTGTGTATCTGCAAGCCCTCTGTTTTCAATCCTGGATGCAAAAATGGTTATACCCGATATAATACTTGCTGTAAGTGACTCGAATGGGCACCCAGCAATAAGGTTATTTGAAGGCCCAGGTGCTCCAACCTCAGCTTGAGACCTTTAAAGGTCTGCTAAACGTTATGGCAAAACCCTTTTAATTGCTAAGCACTGATATTCTCAGCACACTCTGAAAGAAGATTCTGTTTTGCTCTTTTATCAATACTGTTTTTAATCGCTGTATTGTTGCAGGTTACAGAGGAGACAAACAATGTTCTACAAACGCTGGGGTACATGAGCACTTGCAGAGGAATAATAAACGTAAAAGGAAAAGGAGAACTGAAGACATACTTTGTACATACGGAAATGACAAGGTCCCTTTCACAAGGGAACGTGGCATCCTGAAGAATATTTGTAGGCGTCATCAATACTGTATTTTCAGGAAAGTATCACGCACTTTTTAACATTTTGGCCCTTAACATGCGTGCTATTTTCTGGTATGTGGCACTTATTTTAATATGGCTGCAGAATAGTCCCATGATCCATCATTTGATATTCCTATGTTTGAGGACAGTGGTGTAGCACGCTACAGGACTGGAAGATTGTACTGCAACTTGCACTGTTATGCGAAGACAAGAAAAGAAGGAATAGGAATTGGAGGTAACTCATCCTGAAAGAACCAAAAAGAGACGTTAGTGGCAAACGGGAGGGAAAAAAGGCAATAAAGCTAGGGGTGCATACTATTTTCTGATGCATGGTGTTTTCTGGAAAATATGGTAGCTCCCCAATAGCATCAACTAATCTGGTATTAAAATATACAGTATTTGTAAATAAGTTTACTCTGTCCACACATGATTTGGATGTGATCACCAGTTGCATCTCATAGCCAGGGACACGTTAGGTGGCTTGCTGGCGTCCTTTCTGGGGAGAGAACTAACAACGCTGGAACAGTTTTGTACAAACGTGTCAAATGTTTTGAAGCTATTGTCTTTTGTAAGGTTAATTCATTAAAAGTTTATATGTACTTTGTCTTACTGTTGCTGTCTCTTAGTTTTGCTTCCTTCCATGGCTTCTCTTGCTCTCAACTTGCGCGTCTCCTGCTGCTGCTGCTTTTTTTCCGGCAGTTAGCTGTTGAGGCAGGCTGTGGCCAGCTGTTTCTATAGCCTAAGCCATTAACATCTGCTAGGCTTGCCCTGGCTTTTCAGAGTTGACTCTGTTGTCTTCAGTCCTGGCTGATATCTAGGCACTCTGTAGCCATTGGTGATGCAGACTTGATTCAAATCCATGAACACAAGCGAAGTGGAGGATGCTGGAGCCGGTAGCAGTGTTGCTACTTTGCAACTGGCCTGCAGAGCTCAAACAACAGCTAGGAGGAGCTGTAGAAAAGAAGTGTTTTTTTTTTTTTTTTCTGTTTTGCACTTTGACTTCCTCTTTTGCCCTTGCATGCCTTTCACTTACCTTTACGATGCTGGATTTCATGGGAAGTTTAAAATAATCTGACTTACCAAAACGTAGCTATGAGTGGTAGACACAAAAATGCTAGATGCTAGATAATTAAAAACTCATTGAATTAAAAATGGGGAGTTTCATAGAAGAGGCCAGGTGAAATGCTTAATTAGCAGGTAATTGCACCTGCTAATATGCACCTTCAGAGGCCCGATAAAGATTATTTTTGCTTTGCTATGAGCAGCACTTGAACTTAACATATTCTTTTAGTCATCATAACAGCCTAACAAGAACAAAATTAATAAAATCCTGTTTTAAAAATAACATAAAATTACCAGAAACTTTTCTGACCGCTATCTCATGAATGCTGTCAGCTTACACCCTCTTAGCTCTGGCATGTTACTGAAATGTAAAAAGAAAGGTATACACAAGACAATCTTTCAGATTTCTCCTTCATGAACCATATACTTTCATTGGTATTGCATTGTTGTCCTTTGAGAAGGAGTTCCCAAAATTGTGCGTCACAAATAAATGGCATCCGGCACAGTCTGGGTGAGTGTGGCACGGTTCCCTCCTGGCAGCCAGCTGCCCACTGGCAAATTGGAGTGGTGGCAAATTTCAGAACGTCCATCTTTGCAGTAAAATAGACTCTCTGCGTTTGGCTCACTTTTAGTTTGTCTGAAACCAAATGCAAGTTATTATTTCAGCTGTTCAACAAAACACATTTGACATCTCACTCAAGGTCAGAAACTTTTGATCAGTAACTTTCAAAATAGGTACCAGTCTAATAAAGTGCCCATTAAATATAGGTTGTTGTCCTTATCACTTCTTCCTTTTAATTAATAAGTTAATATAAATATTTTCCAGATGGATAAAAGACTTTCCAAGAAGCTCACTGATCATTAAGAAATAATTTCCCAGTTACATCCTAAAATAAGCTATCCGATAGCTGTGTTTAAGACTTCTCCTAAATCCCTGCTCTTCACTTACTATAAATTTGCCCTAGGAACATACTCTTGTTCATACAAAAAAATATCGTATCTCTTAGCCCTTGAATGTATTCTGGGCCCTTTAAATCATACTGGTATTATCACAGGTCAAAAAGTAATCATTTCTAACTGTGGATGAAAATCCTTTATGTAAAGTTGATGACTGATTATATTGTACTGTCGTATCTATGTGCAGCTTTCAGGTATTCAAGGTGGTGCATTCAAGGTGGTGCTTTTCATCTGTATTCTTACACATTTTGTGAACCTGTCGCAAACCTCGTGCCTAACTCGATAGACTTGCTTCTATGATTTTTATAAAAGTTAAATAAGATTGTATTTCTGTAAGCCATAAAAGATTAAAACGTTTGAATGACCATGAACTGACTGGTCCAATGAAATGAAAAAAAAAAGATATGCATGTGCCCTCCAAGAATATACTGAAAATACCCTTGAAAATCCTTTTAATTAGGTATATTATTAGGACCTTTTTAGTAGATATAGCTACCTATTTAGAAACAAAATAGTTAAATCTGCCAATTATGTCTCTAACATGATAAATAATAATATATATAGTAATGATGTAATCTATTTTGCTGTATTTTCAAATTTTAAGTGTAGTTAAAATAGATCCAAAGCCATTCAGAACACCCACGTCACTCTGGCGGTGTTCTCACATTTTGTAGTTGCATTCAGTCTCTCGCTATTGTGCAGGCAAATCCTGCTAAAGAACAAAAAAGTGGGCAAAAGATGAATATCCATGCGGTTCTGCGCCCAGGGAAAGTAAGGTTCATACCCTCCTCTCTGCAGCCTTCAGCTGCTGAGTAGTATTAGTAATATCTTTCTGTGGCCAAGAAGCTATTTCTACCCAAAAATAATTTTGTATTCCAGTGCATTTTACAGCTACTGTTTGTACTATTTTATTTTTCCCCTGTCAAGATTGACCTGGAATTATTTCATCCTCTTTCCTCCTTTCTTGCAGCAGTTTCTTCTGCCTCAATAACTGAATATAACACTGCTTAAATATCAGCGTATAGCTTGAAAATATTTATGAGAATCACACAAATAAGCATTCTCTATGTCATATATTCTACATCATAATAAGGCTCCACTTCTACAACTTCTGTGCTGGTGCCCTAGTTCATATGCTGCTAGCAAATCACAAAGAACGTGAGGTCTAAAAGTAAATGGCAAAGGCAAATGTACCTAACAACAGGAGGCAGTCGCCAGAATATCAATACAAGTGATTCACGATGGTCTGGGAAAAATGAGATCCAAAGGAGCACACGTGGGAAGTCTGCTGGATTGCTTTCTCAAGGTCGATGCCTTGCTGCAATCCACGGAGGGCTACCAAGGGTCAGGAAGAAAGACTGCACTTGCAGTTATTTTTGTTACCTGCAGAAGCAGTTGGGATTATATTAGCATCCTATTTCCCCTTTGTGATAATCATCTTTCATTCTCTTCATGTTTATTTATGTTTTGTGTACGTTGTAAAATAACCATGGACCTTCCCTTTCTCCACGGAGGTGCGGGTAGGAGTACAACCTGCTCATCGCTGAAGAAACAGCTGGGCATCTGAAGGCTGTACTGTTGACAGGCAGTTCCATTTGGTTTTCAGGACTTCATAAAAGGACGAAAAATAGCTATTTCAACAGAACACTTTATGTACCAGGAGACTTACTGTTAGAAGTAATGATTAGTTTGTCCTTGGACAAGCAGTTTTCTATTCGGTTGCACTTCTTTGTGAAGACACTTTAACTTTTCCTATTCAGATAGGAGGTTCTCCCGTACTTGACCTAGATTCTCGCCCTTCAGCACTTTTTACAAGAGAACCTCAAACAACTGTAAGCCTGGGGCTTTTGAGGGTTTTTTTTTTCCCCTACCCCTTCTTGTCTAAATCAGTAGAGTGACTCCAAGGAGAGAACAATCGTGGAAAAGAAAGATAGGTGTCTTAAAATAAAACACAAAGGGGTAATTTTTTTTTCCTTGAGCACTTTTAAACTTTTGTAGATTTGTCCAAAATGGTGTATAAATCAACGGTAGCTGCTGCACCCTGAAGTTTTTTGTATATTCTTTTTAGAATTATTCAAATTTGGAGGCAGGAATTACCCAGGTATAGTTGTCGAAATGCAACACAGTGACATTTTAATCCTGTTTGCACCTCTGAAGGTACGAACCCCTTTCTGTTGTAGAGTGCCACTGCCCGAGACAAAGATTCTGCCACGACTTGTACACAGATCTCTGACGGAGTATTTTTCAAAGACAAAATGTGACAATATGTGGCAGTTGAGATGGTCTGCATGAAAAGTCAGCTTTGACAGGAAGAAATGCATGTAAAGTATTTTGAAAGACTGACGTTCCTGGACTAGACATTCTCATGTTTGCATTTTAACACAGTTGTTACAAATAACAGTTGTTATGAAAAATGATGTCCACCAGGGGTATAAAGTCGTGTATTGCTCTGTTTACGGAAAGGGCCTGTTGAACTGCACATTCACTCGACAGCGTACGAACAATAACTGCAAATCATATCAGTCAACCAGTCATCATTTTCTAGGATAATTAGAAAAGATAAAAAAATCATTCTAATAATATATCCGAAAAGCCTGATTCTCCAGTCAAGCAGTAAAAATTGTAGCACCAAGCCAACCGGGGAGCGTTTGCAGTTTGCGGACCGAGGCTTAGTCGTAGTGATGGCGTAGAGAATCGTTTGAAACAACAGATATATTTGAGGAAATTAAAAATTATCCCGAGTCATTCCGGAACGGAAAAAGTCCTGCAAAACTGTCAAAAAAATTTGCCGGCGTGGAACGACGGCCTCGGCCCCAGCAGCGCGAGGACCGACGCGCCGTTCAGGGCAGGGGGACAGGATCTGAGCGTCGTTCGTGTTTCGGCCCCTTTCGCGAGGGCGACGGGTTGCCGGAGGAGGCGAGCCGGGAACGTACGGCAAACGGAGGCCCGGCAGTGAGCCGAGTTGCTGAGCCTTGATTTGAGCCCGCTCGTTCCCCGGCCTCCCCCCGCCCCGTTACCCTTTGCTTGGCAAATGCCTTTTAGGCATTTTTCTTGCTAAGTAACCACATAAGCCAGTCTGATATTTCAGAGCGGTCACCCTTCCTTTGCGACACCTCACTGACTGTAAAAATACGAATCGGTTTGTTCAACAAAACCCAGAAAGCTCAGCAGCGGACGCTGCGGGGGATAATGCTGCTGTCCCCCCCCCAAAAAAAAAAAAAGGCAGACTGAGTTTCTTCTCCTTAGGAAACAGAGTGCAAAGCCACTTTTGGCACCTGGGTCTCCGAGCTGAGCCGTCCTTCGATGCGTGCTTTTGACAGTGTCGCTTGAAATTGCCCCATTGCCCTCGCACCGTTGGGTGCATGCCCGTTTTTAGCCAGGGAAAGTCACGCAACGGCCGGCGCTGCTTT